TTTTTTTTTTTTTAAACTGAGCCAGTCCATTATTTATTTTCTTTTTTTCCTGTTCAAAATAACTGCATTTGACATCTAGCCACCTTAATTCCTAAACTGTTCCATTGCGTGTGCCAGTTTAGTATTGCCATAGAGAATCACATATTTGAGGGCAAGGAGTAGTTTTGTGGTTCGTATTCAGTGTTACAGTTCTTTGTAGGATTAAGGAAAAATGGTTGAGATGACTCTGTGGTAAGTGCACTGGTAGTCTGGGAGGAACAGAAATCCTGAATTTGTATCAGCATCAAAACTTGTTTTGCATCACTGTTCTTTTAGTACTTCCTATATAATTTTTCTCTTAGGAGCAGAGGCCAAAATCTGACTTGCATATGTTGTCTTAGTTCTCTGCTTGTTATTAGGAAAATAAGACGGTTCTAAATAACAGCCAAGTAGAGCTGTTCATAAAAAAACTAGCAGTGAATACCATGAAAACTGTTCTGTTGAAATATAAATAATAATTTAAAAAAAAAAAATTAAAACTGAAGAATAAAAAACTGACTACACACTACATATTTGTAGCTTTGTTTTGCTCCACATTCAGGAGCTGTCATCATCTTAATGACTGCAAATTATTCTTTCAGCAGCAACATTCTTTATGTATATACACCTTGTTTATCCCAGACAGCTTTCATGTAGCAGTACAAATTTTCAAACCTGTGGCTATTCCAGTTTCAGTTGTGCAGTTGTACACGACTATGTTTATATCTTGGGTTGTTAAAGTTACTTTCAACTTTTCTATTTATTGTGAGTTACTACTTTCAAAAAAAGCATTCAATGTTAGGGTGGCTTTTTGTGGGGTTGGGTGGTTTTTTTTTTTGGACAGAAGAATCACTGAGAAGCAGCGCTTTGGTGGTTAATTTTTAATGCTTGTGAGTTGCAGGATTAAAAAAGCCCACAAATGGCAATATTAATCCTTACCATTGCTAAAAACTATTGATGATTCAAAATACCATTTACATTATAACAGTCGGGTAGTGAAGTTTTAAGGGGAAGATATGTGCTGTTCTTCTTCACTTATCTCCTCTGGCTTATGCTGCTGTTCATAAGTGTGAAAAAATAAAATTCTCATAACAAAACTTGCCAGCCTTTTAGATTTTTGTGTTAAGAGCATAGTACTTGAGAGATAAGCTATTTGCTTTTCCTTTAATGTTATGATGGGAGATGGTATTGGAGTGAACATTCAATGATCCAACAAAATATTTTCAGTAGTTTGGTAAGGGAGGTGGCATCTACAATAACTGTGTGTCAGGTTTGCTACTCCATCCTCCTATGCTGGACATGTGGCTGCTGTTGCCTGCTTGCCCTCTGCTTCCAAAACCCAGGGGCCCCAGCAGTGCTTATCATCATGGTCTTCCTGTGTCGCCCGTGATGGTCTTGGTCCAGCAGCAAAGTCCCTGTCTTCTCTGGAGGAGCAGTTTGGGTATGCTAACTCATTCTCTACTGGGATGGGAGATAGCCTAACCTTGGTTTTTATGACCTCAGTGATTTGCATAAAAATTACTGCCATAAGCGTGAAAAGCAATTCAGCTTCATTTAGTTGGTGGTTAGCATGGTTTAGAAGCCGTGGAAGAAGTTAAGAAATTCAGCAGGTCTGGCTGCATTCTGTGCATGTCTGTGCTGTGCTGGTTGCCTGGGAAACGGTGCAGGATGGGGTGACCGGCTGCCTCCGCAGAGCTGGCCGTGGATCGTCGGGACGCCGAACAGGCACGTGCAAGCCTCGAGAAAAAAGAATGCGTGCCCGTTTCAGCTGGAGTTGTTAATAGTAGAGAGGAGGACACTATCTTGAGTATGAGCCGTGATAATCTGCAGGTGCTGCCTGGGAAGCAGGCACAAATATATTACTTCCTTCGTGTGGACGTAAATCTATTGGGAGGGGAATTAGCGAGTTAGCAGTGTGGTGATAAAAGTAATGGTGATTAATGTTAACTTCTGAAAGTTCTGGGATTTGTGTATCGAATTAGTATTTACTGTCATGGTGTGTATGTAGTGTGAAAAGCACTAGGTTTTTCAAATAGCCAACTACCAAAGCATTTGGAAGGATACAAAATGGATGTATTACCTGTCTGTAATCAGAAGGGGGGGAAAGTGCCTGTACGTACTCTTAAAAGAAATTGATTTGTAGATAATGCTTCTACTGCCAAGGCACATTTGTTCAGTCAAAATGTTTCCTCCTTCAAACTGCAGTGGAAGTTGAGCCACGCTTTTGATGAATTCCTGGTTTTACAAAATACTTAGTGAACTATGCGATGTGCAAAGCATAGTAGTTAAAGATAGCATTAAATACTCCATTACCCTCTTTGTGTACTGGAAATGAGGCCTCACCAGTTTGGCACTGTATTGTAATATATGTGTGATGAACGTAGGTAAAAATGACTGTCAAGTAACAGATAATGAATTTGGTTAAATAGGACCACAAAACTATTCCTTTTCATATAGATGCAGGAGGACTGGTGTTTAACTTAAAGGAAGAATCGGTTTGAGTTGACCTCATCCTGACTTGAGGTTTCTTTCAGGATGCCGGTAACAGAAACTGGGACATAGTATAATACGATGTTTTGATAATAATAATAAGCACAGTAAACTATTCAAAAATAGTAAAGAATTCTGGTGGGACTGAATTGTTATGCCTCAAGTTATGTGACTTGACTTCAGAAATATTAGTGCTATGTTGGTGGATCAGTTCCAAGGTACAGGATACTGCATTTTTAAGCTATTAAGGATCCTTGCGTGTCATTGAAACACTTCTTAGTTTTAATTAAGACTTCCTGCCAAAGTGTTGTTTGTAAGATGAATGCATTAAGCTGATTAATGTTGAGGTCCTCAGCAGATTTTTTTCATATGCTGTTTTAGTAATCTATAATACTTAAAATACTTCAGCAAAACTGTTCAAAATTCAGCGTAGCTATCTAGGATATCTGCTGTATTTATCTGTTCTTTGAATAGGATTAAAAAGGGAATGACATGCAGTGGTACATCCAGCCACAATGCTATTTCCAACAAAGTGCGTATACTGCATTTGACAGCTGACTAACAAAAATTTATCAGGTCTGTTTTTTATGTAAATATACGGACCCCTTTTTCTTTTCACTAGACCTGCGATAAGTAAGTGGTGTGGGCTGGTTCTGTCAGTATTTACTGACACCGCATTACCATTGCATAATACTGATTTGGAAGTTATCATCTATGAGCTAACAATAAAGAGAAGACTCATTTGTGCTCTTTTCTGCGACATAAAATACGCTTTGCTTCTTTCCATACAGCAGTTAACACTAATAGATTTAGGATGATACAATTATCCATTAAAATCAGATAGTACTGTCACCCAGCTGGGTAAGTTATTACCAGGATGTTTTCATTTCAAAGTCCGTAAGAGTTCTCTTCTTGTTTTTAAGAATGCTGCTGTTCTCACACTTTAATGAGACAGTAAAGTTTAGTTTATCTTTTTAGATGAATGCTGCTCCTTCTTGAAAATGTGGAAAAACACATAGAAGTCTGCAGGAAAAATAACTTAACGTAAAATAGAATGATGGGACTACTAATTTCCTTTGCTTCCAAATACTCAGTATGAAAGCTGGTAGAATTTTATGATAGTGTAAAATCAGTAGGTTATTATATCAAATGGCAGATACAGAGCTGGGGTCAAATTGTATCCTTTTTTGAACTAATCTGTGGAAAGAGGACTGGATATCCGAAACTAGAATTCAAGTTGTGGGCTGTCATCTACCAGCTCTCATAGCAATGAACTTCAGAAGACTCCAGTGATCTGCAGGCATATGCTCCGATTTCCATGATTTTTGCCTCGTCTGCTCAGCCACTCTGCTGCTTCTCCTCTGAAGTTGCAATCCATCCTCTCCCCAACAGCAGTGTAATGATTCTTAATGGCAGAAAAAGAAAACCACCTTTGTCTCAAAAAAACAATGGGTACTTAGATTTGGTACCCCATCTTGCAGTATATCCCAATTTCACGTTGGTTGTTATGCTCCTTTACCTCTAACACAGATCTTCATGCCAAAAA